CCACCCCAGCTATTTTCTGTGCAAATGTGGAAGAATTTGTAAACACGACCACGCAACTTTAGGGCGAGGCTTGGGAAAGGGAACTAGTAGGATGAATGAAGAGGATGGTGAGGGGTGGGCAGAGAGGTTTCAAGCAGCTTTGGTTTAAGCTGAATTGTCAAGACAAAGTGTGTGATGCAACGTTGTGTTATTCTCCACAAATAAGTAACAGCCCTTGTTACTATTATGAGTTGGCGAATACTCAGTCTCCTCAGCCAGGGACTCTTTGCAGAGAGGGACTGCTTCTGAGCTAAAAATAACTGGACGCCCACCCCCCAGGGCTGCTCCTCGCAGGTCACTAAAGCCAGAGGCTGTTGCTGGATTGGGATGGGGCATAGGGGGCCGAGAGTACCTGAAGACTAGCCCCCCTCAGATACTTACCTCACCGCCCCGAGTTTATTATTATTTTTAATTACATATAAGATATCCCTGTGTGCATACAGCTTACTGCAGGTCCTCAAGATTGCCTCATTTCCCCCACCGTCTCCATCCATCCTGGTGGCCAGTTTGAGGATTCCTTTTTATTACTCCTCTACCAGGAGTTAATCAGTATAAATGTCTTTGTGCGGGGGTGATAGTCATCCCCACCCCTGGCCTCTGATAACCTTCCTCCCTCCTCACCTGCCTGGTTACAGGTTTGGCCAAGGTGTTGTCTGGAGTTGATTGCAATGAATCTCCCTCTAGGTCGAGCCCATAATCCCAGGGAGCTGATGGTCTCCCCAATAACATTTGCTAAGTAGGAGAGCCCCTCTCCCCAGTTCCCCTCAGAGCCAGTTTTCAGAAATCCTTTGGCTTTGGGTTTTAAAGCGCCGGGCGATGTTCCCAAGCCTGAATTCTCTGTGCATCGTACCAGCAACTCCTGTGCCTTGGCTTCTAAATGCATTCGCCCCACCAACTCCTTCAGGGCTCCTATGACTAGGACGCGAAGCGGGAATAATAAGAAAAATGCCATAATGCACAGATACACCCTTACACACCTCACAGGAATTGCAAAATGTGGGAGTGTGGGGGGCATGAAGTGAGAAGGGACGAGAGTCCGAATAAAGCAACCTATAGCCTCTTATTTTGAGAGTCACCACCACCGGAGAGAAATCTTTCAAAGCCACTGGCGGGAAGGTGCGGGCGCCTGGGAATGGAGACCCAGATAGTGTCTGGCCTCTGCGGAAAAAGCCAGTGAGGCACCCGGCCGTTCGGTTCCTGGAGCGCTGGGCCTCGGCTCATCCTGGAATCTAACACTTGGCTCCCCCCCCTTTTAATTTTTTTTCCTTTCCTTCCCACTCACCCCTCCTTTTCCCCAAGCTCTCACCGAAGTCACGACTATCCCCTTTGAACATCCTTAACTCCCTCCTCTCCGTACCCTCCTTCTGCATCCAGGGCGGGGCTATCCGCAGCTGGCGCCAACCCCGCCCCCTGGCGCCCGGATCTGAACTCGCAGAGGACCGAGGAATTATCAGCACCTGCCTTCCGTGGACAGCTACCTCGCCCTGGGCCAACCAGGACCCGGGTCGCGGTCCTCCGGCTCCCGGACCGGAGCGCGCTGGGAAGTTTGTCCAAGGGAATAGGGATCCTACCCCCTTTATCTCCCAGCCCCATCCATGCAATTTTAATCTGTAACTACCATTAATCTCCCAGAGAAATAGCCCACTAAGTCGTATCTGGGCATCCTTTAAGACAGAGAAAATGGGGAGGGGAGGGGGCAGTCCGGAGAATCGAGCTCAACAGCGCCGACCCATAAAGAGAGAGGGACTTGCAGCAGCTATTGATTCAGAGATTCGTCAGGGTGATTCCCGGCTCTGCGAGAATTTCCCCTTTCAGGTCCTTTGCATGCAGCCCCAAATTCATTATGCACACACTCACAACTACACCCTTCACACCACCACCCCACTCGGTCCCACCCCCCTCCTTAGAAAGGGGTAAAAGGCAGCCAAAAAGAACCTGGGGGCATGCACAAAGTAAGCCTCGGCTTGTACTCACAGTCTGCGGCATGCACATGACATAATATTACTTACCCAAACGGGAACTCCTTAAGAGAGAAAAAGAAACATAGGGGGAAGGAAGAGAAAGTGGACAGAGAGAAGGAGACAGAAGAGAGGAGAGGAAAAATCCAACAATTAATTTCCAGACATAGTTGGGGGGAGGGATTGCGGTGATGTCCAGGTTTTCTTCCACCCGCGCTGGCTTTTTATCCCAGTGCAGCCCTCGGTCTATTTCTGGAACACGATCAAACCCTGATGCTATTTTTAGCAAGTACTGAAAAAACCTCCACACACAAAGGCATTTCGGTGGAACGTTTTGTCCAAAACATTAAATGTGCATTAAGCGCCCCCTCCCCACCTTTTTCTGCACCGCCAGCCTCACTTGCATTGCTGCAGATGATGTTTTTCCAGGCAGAAAAAAATACCCCAATATTTCTTATATTCTCCCTTCCTCCCATTAACTCCCGTTTGCCTCTGCCTGTTGCAAGCTCCTGGCAGCCTCCCGGAGCAGAAGGCTTTGGAGGGTCGTGTTCTTTTAGAGCCTCATGTCTCCATTGACCAGATTCCCTGCGTTCTGGGGCAGAGGAGGCTGCCTAGGCCCCTTCCCCAGAGGAGCTTCCCAAGCAAGCTCTAGACTAGAGACTAATGTTCTCCGCGATGGAGATTCCCAAATGAGCGGGGGAATCTTCCGTACCCTTCCCACGTCCCCCACCCAGGCTTTGCAAAATCGCGCAGTGTTTGCAACACACCGCCTTTGGAAATGTATAATTTGAAAGCTGCATGTGTGTGTGGTGTGTGTGTTGTGCGTTCTAGTAATTCACTACGAGGGGGCTGGAGGAAAGAGACTCGGGAAGGCAGCGCAGAGCAGCCGCCTCGAGTCTCCTTTGCCAGCCTGCGTCAGTCAGCAGCTACTGACGTCACGTGCAGATTCTCCTCTTTGGTGGGTCTGGTTCAGCGGGGAAAAGGCTTCTGCACGGAGACAGCGCTTTGTGTTCGGCGCAGCCACTAAGCGGGCGAGGCTGCCGAGGCGGGCGCCACCCCAGGCTAGGGCTGGGCAGCTGCAGAGGAGGCTGCAGCCTTGTCTCCACCCGGAGTGCGCCCCGAGGGCGGTCGTGCCCAGCAGGAGAGCCCCCTTCCCCAATGCCCTCAGCTCCCCCCGCGGCCCCCCCTCCCCCCGCAAACTGGGGTAGGTGTGCACAGACTCGCGCAAGCATCCGTTCCCCCCGCCCTTTCGCAACTGGCCGCTGTAGCAGAGACAGCTATGGCAATAACTCGGATTAATTCTGGGTGTTTGTCGGGCAGAGAGCCTCGGCTCCTCCAGTGACGCAAATAACAGATTCTACGGCTCCCGCTTTCTCCCCTGCTCCCTTTTTCTCCCTCCCTGCTTCTTTTCCCTCTTCTGTTTCCTGCGCCCACGCATCATGCTTGGTCTCCCACGGAATCAGCCAGCTACAGCTTCCCAGAGAGCAATAAAATTCCAAGTTACAGACAGACAGATTCCCAGAGCAGGAACAAATAAATCTGCAATTAAACACA